TCTCTCTCACAGTACGTTGTTGCTGATCGTGTCTGGCCAACGAATCCGAAGTATTTCGCGTAGACAACTGTTAATAAACACTTGTATCTTGTGGATGATGGCTTTGGTAGTTCTCCAAGTTTCCACTCCATACAGTAGAACTGTCTTGACATTTGTATTGAAAATCCTGATTTTGGATTTAGTTGAAAGTTGTTTGGAGTTCCAGATATTTTTCAACTGTAGAAATGCAGCCCTAACAATGTTAATATTGAACTTTAATCAATTCAGTCAAATGTCGTCGGTGGATAACTGATTCACAACCGACACAGTTAGATTCCACTGGTCACATCTTCTTACAAAAACCCCGAAAATCCTCTATTGAATCTAGTCATTAGGTAGCACATGCTAATTATCAGTCTAAGGTTGTGTATTGTATTATTACACATTTATAACATTTAAGATTACTGTGCTTTTTTATGGTGATCGGTTAGTAAAAAAATTATCATTCTATTCAATAAAATAAAATATTGTAATTCTGTTTTCTTTACTAATAAGCATGATTCTCTTATCATTATTGATATAATATGTAAATGTATAGATAAATATATATATATGGGAAAGAGGAAAAGCACCAATAAATAAAGTTGATGAGTTTTTACACTCTTTTGCTTTTGATAAGTAGTTACTACTAATTTTGAACCTAATGACATGTAATATATCGGTATTAGTAGTAGTAGTAGTAGTAGGTCGTTGAACGTATACAACAAATATAATAGCAAAAGTTTAATGTATAGTGAGTATATGCATGAGGATGGGAAGAAGTAGTGCTTTATAATATGGAAAAGCATTCAATTCTCTATTTCACATTAGAAACATGTACAAAGTAGACTCAGACACACATACAAACACACTAAATAATGCTACTATAATATATACAACACATTGGATCATTTTTCACTTATTCTGTTTTTCATTTGTTTTAGCAATGGTTAGATGGAAGCACAAACACATATACACGTATATATTATGTGAAAAGCAGTAATATAATTTTAGTTTCATTACTTCAAAGCTGTGTTAGAGTGAGTAGATAAGGCAGAAAAGCATTCCTAGGAATTTTTCATTATTAGTATTGAGGAGAGCACAGGTCATCTGTTCTAGCGTTCAAATAAAAGCAAATCTGTGTGTGGGTGTATGGGATAAACATGAAAAGGGAGAAAAAAATTAATCAATGAACTTTTCTCATGAACAAAAATAGTAGAGTGGGAAAGACAGAGAAACTGGTATTTTCTGAAAACAGAAGAGAAACTGCTCTATTTACTCTTTTATTCTGATCGATTCGTGCCATTCACGTGGTTTGGCGTGGTGTTGTGTATATATCATGTAATATTCTGCCCAGTTATCATAATGATGCTTAAACAAAATTAACCAATCATAGGTTTTTATAGATTGAAAATGAGCTGAAATGAAAAGTAGTCTTAGTTACATAGAGTGGGACTATTTGGACCAGAAATGATGGGTGTGCCTTCGTAAGAAGCATACAATTATATATCTAAACAGATTACTTACACACGGGTGCTGCATTCATAGACATACACTTAAAAATTGATTTGAATAACAATTTTGATTGTTGATGAGAATAGGACAAATTTTTAGAGTTGTTAATTTGAACTGTAAATATTTCGGTTGCAAGTTAATCATCATTGTCTGTGGGCACAAGTTAGGGAAACTTGGTTTATATTCTATAAGCGTGTGTGCATATGTAATCTTATCTGTTCAGTATGTGGTATTTGAAAGCAAAAGATTATCAGTTTAAACAGTACTCTTGTCAACCGACAATTCATTTGTGTAATACAGAGGGCACTTAGGTGTGGAATAACCTATTTCTTAACTGTTCCTTATTGATATTATGATAATTTGAGTAAACCACCCATATTAGGCCAATAATCAAAGGTGAAGTTGTTTCAAACATTCGAGTAGTCTTGTTCTCATAATACTTTACTAATACCACTTACTGTGTTTGAAGTTTCAATCATTCAAATAGTTGTGTATCATGTTAGAGAACTAAGCACAGTGTTTCATTAAAATTACAAATGCGCTCAGTTTCTTTTTTAAGAAATATTCTGAAACATCCACCCATTCATTTGATATACAACATCTCATTTATATATACACTTAACGAATGTTGGCCAAGTGACAAAAATGCTGAATACTCTTTGCAAAGTTTTATTATCCAGCTCTCATATATGTAAGGTATCTTAGTGTACTTTTTTAAAATTTTATATCTGTTGTACAATAAAGTAGCGGTTGGTGTGTTTTTATACTAAGAACATATCTTTTTAGACAAAATGATCTTTCCTATATTCATAATGATTACAGTACATGCTTAAGTTAAGATATAATGAAAGAATATGTCAATTCTATAGTACAATTCATTCAACATTACAGATTTTCTTAGACTTTGAAACTCGAACCTTGTGGTACAGGTGGACTATTGTTACCAGGTTCCGATTATCAACTAATATTAACATTTTACACATTTACAGATTAACTGTATTTTCCCCAAGATTAGTAACATTTTTAAAGATTTCTTATGGTCTCTAAGATAAAAGTATATATGAATTTCATATATTTTCTGATGGCATTAGGTTTCATCATTATTTTTCTCTTCTTGTCTATTGATTTGCAGTTGGAGGATATCCACTACATAGTCATAAGATCATTGTGTGACAAACTACTCTTTCTTTCGAGCTAGAGTCAAAGTAAAAGGTTTCAGGCTTGGATTGTCTCGTGATTAAGACATGTGCTACTTATACCTAGCCACATATTACTCTTACACTTATTACTGGATGACGTTGGAGTAGTTTTTAAGATTAGAAGCGACCAAACCAGTCAGTCAGTCAGTTACAACGTAGAACTTCAGGTTGCCCTACCACGTTGGCACAGAGGCGATTGTCAATTCAAATCCCATAGTGGTAGAGATATTAGAATTATTACTGGTAATGGAGAAGATTAGGATTTGGAAATATTATTCAAGAAGTACCATTCAGTGAGATAAGCTTAGGAAGACAAGGGTAGAGGTGTTAACGAATCCAGAAGATTAGGGTTTGAGAGAACCAAAATGTGACATAAGCCCAAGGATTCAGTTGTCATCGGTCTGTGTTGTGTCTAGAGTTGCAAACTTCGTGGTTATGGTTCACATAATCAGTGATTGGAAGCATTAAATATCACAGTTCAAAATTGATCGCAATGACACTGATTTGTAGAATACTTTCTCTTCCACACTTTGACTTCCATATTTAGTTTGAAATCCTTATTACTCAATTGGATTTATTCTTTTCGAATCATATTCACTGTTTTATTTTTCTTGCCATGAGAGTAAACACTATTATTGCTTCAACCGCTTTAGTATGGATATTATCATTTCTCTTTCGTTGTGTTGTTGCAGTCTAACGACTTAGACGAATGCACATTTGTATTGGGTTCTACGGTTTTTTGAACTGATTGACTGTCTGTATGCATGAAGTTTGTTAACTTATACAGTAAAATATCAATTTTTATAAACCTTAAGACTATACTAACGAGTATTTCATTAATGTTGCGTGTGTTCGCTGCTCATCTTATTAATAATACTTCAGATGTATAAATATTCAAAAAAAAATATACATAGGTGATTTATGTGTATGTTTTTATTTTGATTCATCATTCAATTAGACTGTGTTAGATAAATTTGGATTGACAAAGCATATCTCTATACACTGAGTAAGAGTAACTGAAGTTGGGAAACGAATAACATGATCACAGTATACATGGATGATTAACATGTTTTTTTTTTAAATAACGCTCTTATTCTTTTTGTTTTGGTTTGATGGGCAAAAATTATAAACTATTGTCTCAAACCATTTCACAGTTGAAATAATGAATTTATGCAACGAATGAAAATTTTATATGACAAATAGTTCTTTTATGAAAATAAAACAAATTCTACCAGTTAGAAATGTTTCTTTTTCCCTTCATTTTCAAATGTGATAAAATTATTGTTAATCATCATTAAGATAGATTAAAATTAATGGAAGCCTACTGTAGGTAAAGTAGTCAGCTTCCAACTAAGTCGCAGCTTCAAACCCCACTATATTTATTATGGTTCTAGCAACTGAATTGTACTGCTAACCTTCACAAGATTAAGGTTTAGTTTGAAGTGGAATACACAAACCTGCGTTTGAGATGTAAGTTATGTGATTAATAGAGGTAGTACAAATATTTTGAAGACAATTCTATTTAGTTTGTATAAAATATATGTTGTTGATTCTACAGATCTACTTGATAGATGGACAGATGATGAAGAGAGCCTCAATAATTGAATTAATAGTATTATCATTTCCATAAATTAATGTCTGCTCACCTTGTCACTATCGACTCATAAGGTGTTTTCTATCATTACTATTACATATTTCATTATTGCCCCTACTGCCGTGGTACGGTTGAGAGTGGTGAGAGTTCACTCTTCCTCTAGAAATGCTTTCATGTGACCGCGTGAACATAGCTACTGCCAAAGAAGACTTACTTACAGGCAGCAGGGGTGTCGTTTACGAAGGTGGGATAATGAAAAGAGGAATTCTGGTGAGGATTAAACTGGGTTGGATGAGTACGTAGGATCCACTTAAGGGAGTTGCAAAACCTTGGTTCCAAACCTATGGTGCATATAGGCTCTAGGAACCACAGGGGACAAATAGCATATGAACCTGTTATTGTTTACCGGCCATTATAAACCTTGATCCCCTAACGTTGCTCCACTACCTCGTGGACTAGACGTCTGAGTCAAAGACTCGCCAAGCGGTCTTTTAAGAAAACCTTTTGTTCCGGTTTGGGCACCTGAGCGGTTTCCCTGCTCGTGCACAAATTCGTTAAATTGTGTGGCACATGTAGATTCTCGTGCCCATTGTTGCCAGTGTTTATGTCTTACAAAATAAATTATAATGATAACATTTTTGTATATTTCTTTTTTTTCTCCCTTCATAAATTAGCCAATCAAACACAATATATGAGGATAAAGCATCATCTATACATTATGCATGATGGTCGAATCAATATGTGCGCTTTGACTACGGACAATATTGATCATATTGCACAAGCTATACATGATACAGTTAGTAATGTTAAAGAATAATCACCGGAAATTACTGATTATGAACAAAATTAAAATTTTGTTTAGGATAAGTAAAAAGAAGAATGATGAAATGCAAAATGTTTATGTACTTGTTTTTCTCTTTTTTTTATTAATTACAATTTCCAACTTTTTATCTATTCATTTTTTTTCTCATTAAGGAGATTATATAAATTAACAGTTGTTTACCTTGTTCATTCTTCATCAACATCATTATTCCTATAAATGTCGTTGTCATTATCAAGACACAACATCCAGCAGTAGTAGCATGTTGGTTTTCACTATTCAGTTTTCTATTCATACTCTTCTCATTTGTCTCATCCGATTACATTTGTTTCGATCGTTTGTTGTGTGATAGATGAAGTTTTTGTTTTTGATTGATATTACAATTCTTTTTTTTTACTTTTAGTACATTTATGTATACATTCATACATTTAGCACTTTTTGTTAGTTTCTATTATTATTACTAATGATAATGGTGTTAGTTCCCTTTTTTTTACTACACTGTTTCTTGTTTATATTGCGTAAAGCTAGTATAGTGTTTCGTTATAATTGTACCAATAAGTAATAGTATAAGAAGTTTAGGGAGTACATATATTTGTCATTTCAAACATAAATAAATTTATATTGTTTTGACTTTCTACTTGTTTATTTCTTTACAATTCTGTACCAATATTACACACAGGTTGACAATGGTAGTTCAATTTAGAGAATTGTACTAAATAAGAAAGTGACAAACCATACAGTATAAGTGGGCTCATATGATTATTATGTATTGTAGGTCGATTAGATGGAGACTTTTAGCTTTGAGTTGTTTCAGTTAGACATCTGGTGTTTAACTTTCTAAAGGCGACCATCAAATTGCTCATATCCGATAAGAAACATGGATTATCGTGGTTGTGCTCTTTTCAAACTGTTAAACCAACATTTGGAAAAGTGAATTTACTGAATTTTTTTGATAAACCAAGCTAATTCAAGTCTAGTGTTTGTTGAGGGAGTCTTCAGCTATCGTATTGTCTTTCAATTTCATCATTAGATTAGTTTTGCATGGAAACGTTCACTTGAGTTTACTGTATCGTAAGGATTAAGCTAGATTTATGATCCCGACAACTAAAGGTGAAGAATAACATACCTGCAATGTCGATTATTCGTCAAACTATTTATATTTTCTACAAAAAGTCGTTTGTATGTACGGTTAACGGATGATGCGAAACTGTTGAGTAAAACGTAGTCGGCATTGTTCGTTAACGCATGTTTGGTAATCACTGTTGTTCGTAACACACGTTTCGATGTTTGTATTGTGAAATACATCGACTACGAGAAGGCATTCGATAGCGTGGATAGGAAAACACTGTGGAGGCTTCGACACTACGGTGTGCCTGAGAAAATAGTTGACATCATACGGAATTCTTATGATGGATTCAACTGCAAAATCGTAAACGAAGGACAGCTAACATACTCTATCGAGGTGAAGACCGGTGTCAGGCAAGGTTGCTTACTCTCACCCTTTCTCTTTCTCCTGGTGATCGACTGGATCATGAAGGCGTCAGCATCTGGAGGAAGCACGGTACCTAATGGACATCTGGACAATCTGGACTTCACAGATGACCTGGTCCTTCTATCTCACACGCCAGAACAAATGCAAGAGAAGACAACCAGTGTAGCAGCAGCCCCTGCAGCAGTAGGTCTCGACATACATAAAGGAAAAAGCGAAATTCTCCGATGCAACACAACATGCACCGACCAAATCACTCTTCATGGAGATGCCTTGGAGGACGTTAACACCTATACATATCTGGGCAGCATCATCTACAACCAAGGTGGATCGAATGCAGATGTAAGGGCGCGGATTGGCAAAGCAAGGGCTGCATTTCTACAGTTGAAAAATATCTGGAACTCCAAACAACTTTCAACCAAATCCAAAATCAGGATTTTCAATACAAATGTCAAGACAGTTCTACTGTATGGAGTGGAAACTTGGAGAACTACCAAAGCCATCATCCACAAGATACAAGTGTTTATTAACAGTTGTCTACGCGAAATACTTCGGATTCGTTGGCCAGACACGATCAGCAACAACTTACTGTGGGAGAAAACAAACCAGATTCCAGTGGAGGAGGAAATCAGGAAGAAGCGGTGGAAGTGGATAGGATACACTGCGAAAAGCACCTAACTGTGTCACAAGCCATCACTTGGAACCTTCAGGGCAAAAGGAAAAGAGGAAGGCCAAGGAACACATTACTCCGAGAAATAGGGAAATATATGAGAGGAATGAACAAAAGTTGGACAGAACTGGAAAGGGAAGCCCAGGACAGAGTTGGTTGGAGAAAACTGGTGGGCGGCCTATGCTCCATTGGGGGGTAACAGGCGTAAGTAATTATTGGGGAACAGAATTAGTAGGGTTTGCCAGAATGGCCATTTTGATCTTGTCGCACTATATTGATTAATTCAAACTATGTGGCTCTGCCTTACAAATTGCTGTTATATATCTAGTTTTTGTGCCTTAGATGCTTAGTATATTTCACTGGAAGCGGTAACAGACAGTGTTTCAGTTCTCAACGAGGCCCTGTTCGCCTTATAATAAATTACTTAACCTTTGTCGACTATGTATCAACAGAATAATACAAAACTATTATTTAGATAACTTTCCGAGCAGCAATATGTCATAGCCGCAGATCCTAATATTCATAAAAATGTACTGGCTAGGATATCCCATGGGATTCGAAATCCTTTATGGATTCCTACTGTGCAAAACTGAGTATAAGATATGACATGTCAAAAATTAATTTTATAGCCGATAAACGGAGTATATAACTTGGTTAAGCAGGTCAGTAGACAACTGAGTTTCACTGGTCATGTATATTATATGAGCGCTCATAGGAACATACTTAGCCGTATTATAAGTAGTAAGCCGGACGAAATTGGAGTTCTGTAGTTTTACCTGCCTCATTTATAACAATGATTCAGTGGAGTTACACTGATTTATACTATAAGCGTTGAGTGAGAACTTACAGGATAAAGACTAGCTATTGACGTAGCGTGAATAACTCAAGTATGATAATGGTTAAGAGATATATACTGACAATATTTTCGTCAGTGTTATCCATTATTCTATTTTTGGTGAGAAAGTTCGCTTTTAAATTCATTATCTGCATACACATAGATAGCATTTTATACATTTATTGTATCATATATGAAGTAAATCATCAAACTGTGCATAAAAGCTGCACAGTAAGTTCGTAAATTGAAAAGAAGAACACCAAGTTGTATACAATAAACCAATTCACGTTAGAATCGATATCACAAACAAATCGTGGCTCATGGAGGTTTTGATGACTTAAACTTAAAAGGTTAGATAAACGGCTGATTTAAGCGTTCTTAAAAGTGAGGACTGTTAAATTCCTTCCAAAGAATGAAACAAATGGTGTCAACTGAAACGATTAGTACTACCGAGATATGTAAAATCGTAAATTCAGGCCACCACTTTAAAGATCAAATGAAGTCTTCTAAATTTCGCTTGTTAATCTTCTACTGTATACTGTCTCCACTATGCTCTTGTAAGCATGGGTTGAAAACTAATTTAAGGATATAAGGAGAACTGGGTTATCTACTCTTAATATTTCCAAAATGTATACAGGCAATAAGTAGAGATCAATTTCAGACAGGGAAATTTGTCCTTCAAGATCGAGTTTTCTACAAACGGTTGTTAGACTCATTAAACACTAGTATCACAGCTTAGTTTTAGAGAGCATACGTATATTGTCATCTCTGTAGGTGATTCAATACAGCAAGAAGCTGTGCAATAGTATATCATGGAAATCAAAGTTTTATTTCGTTGTCACATTTTGTTGGGGAAATTAGACTGAGTATATTTATTTTTTAAAATACCAATCGGTCTTAAGTTATTGAGCCTTGAGTTAATCCTAACAACGGTTTCCATACTGTTTAGAAAGCTTGATTTAAAAGTTGAGTTATTTAATTATTTAGTTGGTGACATACTCCATAGACCATTAGTTAAGGAAGAATTTATTGATAATTCAGCTACAATTCACGCAACATGTCGAAGTGAGAAATTACCTTTGTTATCTTGAGTGAATGAGTTTTTGTTGCACAATGGAAAGATGAAAGCTTCATAAGGCTTGTTCAGCTAGACTTAGCGTAAATTTGAGCTATTTAATATAAGTGACTTTAGCTGGTCTTGTGGGACTTTGAGTGGTTCTAGTTTTCTGTTTTCGACCTTTTAGACTGTTTACCTTTGATTGTGGGGTCGTTTGTTTTAGTTGCTAATGGAACACTTATCGACAACTCAGAACCATGTTCTTTAAATGATTTTTCCTGATACAAAAGGTAAACAAACCCTAACTAAAGGTACACAAATTAATGGAAATACAATGTGTAAACTCAAAGTAGTACATACTAAGATTAACAAATCCATGAATAACTAAGTATGAATTTTAATCGTAATATTTGATTTACGAGATTTCAGGTTTGACTACTTCGTCGGATTTTATGAACAAAATACAAGGTTGGATGTAATCCCCTATAGCTTCTTGAAGTCTGAAACTTTCATCATCTAGTTTTGGTCTATCACCAATGTATCAATCTTGATTCCGTTTATGGGCTTTATCACGAACTACTTAATTCATCATCAGAACACATCACTGTGCAACAACACCTATTACAAGATGAATAAATAGTTAGTTATGACTCAGAAATTTTTGTTATACGCGCTAGTAATATTCAGTTAGTAACGTTACTTCTAAGGTGATTGTAAGAATTGGGTCCGGTCTCGCAACCAGTTACTCTACTCAACAGGCTAAGTGATACACTATTGCCATAAACAAAGCCCTTAAGTAAAAAACACGACAGATAACGATAAACTGTTTTCCAATGTAATTAATAAGTATTTTAAGCACATAAAATAGCAGAAATTAAATATACACAATAAAATATAGTGGTTTTTGATAAATATATGATTGTCATACATAGAGATGTTGACTTCAAAACAAATTCGACCAAAAGACAACACAAACTAAAAGATGTTCGGTGGTAGGCTGAACAGTATCAGCAATGTTCGCATTCTGGAATGCTTTTAAATAATTAAATTGTAATAAATTACTAAGACAAAGCTAAAAACAGTTCTCTTTTGTACAACAAATTAGCATTTCATGTTAAAATAATATCTAGTGAAAATAATGTCATTTAAACGCACAAGTAAGTATACTTACATAAGAAGTGATAGAAAACACTTTATACATCTGTACAGATTATAAGATAATCACTTGAACACATGATTAGTTTGGGATACTTACATAAAGCGGCAGTGAAAAGCCGTTGTTACAAAAAAGTTATGACTTTGTCATAGACTTTGAATCAGTAGCATCATCAGTAGTAAAAAGAACAACAGTAGGTATTTTAATTATTTCACAGCAGTTTTCATTTGATGAATTTACAGCTGTTTGAGTTTCTTTTAGAGCTGCCCGACATCTCGTTTTATTGAATTGAACTTTCGATGTTAGGCGGAGGTTTGTTAAGAGATCATCCGATGGTTGCTCTGATTTAGTTTTTACCTCTCGTAATCTATCTTCTGTATCCTCATTTCGAATAGTATGGCTTCCATCATATAATGTCGAATGAGAAGTACTTTTAGTATTATTATCACAATGCTCATTTCCTTCCGGATTACACTGTTCACTGCTGAACTCCACAGCTGCCGCAGCACCTTCTGATTCGTTTTCACTTACATGACTACTTAAATTCTGTTCATCTGTTCCATTACACAGCTCGTCAGTTTCCTTTTCAGAAGTCTCTACATTTGTTCCTCCTTGAAGTGTTTGTGCAAGCAGGGGTAGTACACTGGAGGGTTCAACACCTAAACCTGCATTTCCATCCATTTGATCATCTAATCCACTAGTTCTCAGAGAACCTCTGCCAGAAAAATAATGTTGCAGTGATCTAACATGTCGCTTTTTATCTTCAAGACGAATAAATTTCTCATCACAAAGTTCACAGGAATACGGTTTCACACCAGTATGAAGTCTTTCATGTCGTTCACGACAGAACTTTCGGTTAAACGTTTTCCCACAGTATCTACACCGGTAAAACTTGTTGATAGGAATCGATGAAGAACTTTCCGATGATTCTGCAGCACTTTTCTGTAGCGGTGGGAGAGGTAACCGATCGTTTGTAGAAGCTGAACGAGAAACACAATCATTCTCTAATGATGAATTATTTTTATTTGTTGGAGGAAATTTAGTTCCAGTTGCCCTTTTGGCATCATTAGTACGATGACTGCTAACTTCATCACTCGTAATGGCTTGGTATGTTCCGTTACTTTCATTTTTGCGTATCTTTAGTTTACTGTCTGACTCTCGATTTGCATTAGCACTCATACATCCTTTTATAGTTTGCAGAATTCTATCTATAGCAGAAGTAGTAGGATCAGAATTCGAAGTTGGAGCTTGGCTGGCGTTTGACGTTATTTTTGAACCGCTTTCTGTGACGTAAGTTAAAGTTTTGTCAGCTTTACGTGACGTTTGGTCAAATGGAGTGGTACACGGGACCATATACGTATTAGTTGTAGTGGTGGTTTCAGAAATAACGCCTGAAGTCTGAATTACTGTGGATGTAACTGGGGTATGAAGTAACACAGGTGAAGTTAGTGTTAAACTTGTAGACTGTGATGCAGGTAAACCTTGGAATGACAATGCTGCTGGGACAGCCGTAAGAGGAGTTAAATGAGATGTAACAAATGCATGCGCAGATGCTGGTGTCAGTAAGAGATTCATTTCTGTTCCTCCACGAGGGTACGATAACATGATGGAATTGCGAGTTGGTATCGTTTGTGTTAGAGTGGGAACCGTATGACAAACATTCGACGCCTGACTTGAAGTAATAACACCGTTTAAGTTAAGAGTTGGTTGAACAATTCTGCTAGTCAGTATGTTGTTCCCATGGCCTGCTTCATCAAAACCAATTATATTTGCTTTTGTTGAGGCGACAACACTGACAGAGGAAGGGATGTTGTTTGTGATCAAGGTTAGTGATGCTGGTGGATTATAGGGATTTGTGTCAATGTTATTCGAATCAGTTAATTCTTGGTTTGACTGCTTCACATTCGTCAAACTTCGCAACAAGGCAGCAGCCACTAAGGCTGCGTTGTTATTAACAGGACCTGACTGAACATTGTTATGTAACGTGCTGGGTAACACTGCTGAGACAGGAGTTGACAACCCAGTACTGGATGTGAGTGTTGCTTCTGATGGATGTTGTCCAGTAACAGTACATGTTACTGTGGAGTTAAGTCCTAAGGTTCCAATTAAGGCCAAAGTAGGTCCCACAGAAAATGCTGGTTGCAATGACTGCTGTTTTTGCATCTGAGCTTGCAATCCTTGCTGCTGTTGTTGCGTGACTAAAGATTGTAGAAGAGCAACAGGATTACCCGATGTTACGGAAAATGATGACGCATTAGCACCTGGATTAAAATTATTTATGACTTGGTGTGAAACAGAATCTACTGGGGCTGTGGCACAACGTAACCAGTTCAGTGTGTTTGCCAAACCTGTTGAAGGTCCAGTAATCGGATTAGCTGGCAATGTAACACTAACTGTTGTTAGAGAATTATTTATAGAACAAGGCTGAACGAGATTACTTCCTAGGGCAGAAGAAATAATACTTTGGGATGAGTTGGCAGAAGCTATCGGTATTGTGCCAAGAATCTCTCCAGAAGGCCCAGTTAAGGCTATTGAAGGAGTATTTAATGTAGGTATACTTGTAGTTAGATTTGACCCATTATTAGCAACTGGATTACCACTACTTGACAGTGAAAATGAAGAATTGGAAATTGCGGCAGCAACAGCAGCAGCTAAGTTTGGATTTAGCATAAGGTTCTGATTTGTGACCGGTGAAGGACTAATACATTGCGTCGTTTGTTGCGAAAACCCTGAGTGATTGGTAGTTTCTGAACCACTTGCACAAACTGCTGAGCCAACATTGTTAGCGAACAGCAGTTTAGACGACACATTTGTATCATTTCCAGATATAAGGGTTTTACCTAAGAGAGTATTTATCGGTAGAATCCCGCACAAATCCCCAATATCTCCTAAACCCAAAGATTTTGCCGAAATAGCATACTTTGTCCCAGAACTCAGTTGATTATTCACCAGCGCAGAGATGTCACTAGAGGTAACTTGTGGACTTAAATACCTGTTTACGGTAGAATAATGCATAGGAACAAAAGAAACACTGGCAGGTGTCGGAGAAGCAGCTAAAACTGGGAGTGAGGTGTTATTATCCTGTAAGCCACTACTTAAAGAAATAGAAACCATGTCAACATCAGGATTCGAAGTTGTAACTGCCGGCACTTCTTTTATACAAGATTCAGAGACAGTAATAGTAATCTGTGAATCCATTCGAGGGACTTTAGCAGCAATATCTATATCATCTTTAGATCCAGATGTCTGAACTAAATCTTCCACATCAGTACCGACATCTTCAACATCACTATCACCAACGTGTGAGTCAGAGTCAAAGACTTGTCGTCTTGGATTTCGACACTTCCTGCGGCAGCGGCGATAAGCATTGTCGTCTGTATCACACTCTGTTAACTGAGTTCTATCTGAAGGTTGCGTATCTAAGTCATTTTCAGAACGGTTAGGATCAAGTTTCTCATCTGTTCGACCAACCCTAGTCACTTGGATAACTGATGGTGGTAATAAAGGAGGTGAAGCACCAGGAGAGTGAGTCGAGCTGTGTTGCTCACCATCAACATCCTGTGAGTAATCGTCAGTGGCTTCAGTTTTTGTAGAATTACTGTCGTCAGAAATCTTAACGGAATTTAATGTAGAATATTCCGGGAGTTTTTCGATATTTTCGGATGCTTCTGCACTGGTAACTGAGAAGGAAGAATCAATCTTTAAAAACTTTTCACATCCATTGTCTGTAGTGTAGGATAATATCCCTAACACATCAAGTCTTTTGGAATATGGAACATTTTGTCGTATCAAGTCGGTAAGTTGTTTAACAAGCTCCTGATCACTAGAATGTGGCGTAGAATAATTTTGCTTCGAAAATAAAAGAGACATATGACAATACTATATTAATAGTTAACGTTCACCACTCACGAATAACTGATCGGCGAATAAAGATTAACTGACGGAAACTGAAGGTACAGTTAAAATTCCGCTAATTTCAAGGTTGCAATGGGCAAAATAAAATACTATGTAAAAAATTGTACATAGTCTCTGAATTTAGTAGTTGACTAGTGTGACTTTCAAATTAAAAAGTGTAAACTTTCTGAGAATATAAAACTTCGACTATTTGTTGGGAATTTATCACTTAAAAAATCAATCTGTTGTTACAAATGTTTCAAATGTTCATTGCCTGAAAAGAGAATATACAGCTTCAGGCTTATTAGGTTTGTCTTTAGCCGAAAAGTACTTTGTGTGTTGGGGAAGTATTAGGAGCATCGTTTGAGTTAATATGGAACAGGAAAGAACAAGAGAAATGGTGAACTGACGACTCAGTAGGCATACAGAATGCACTAATTTAATAGAAAAAAGCTGTCGACAACAATTATAAATAAAACAATAATGAGGTTAGGAAAAACTGGCAATTGGAACTATGAGTTAGTAGAGTAAGAACTAGAATGCGTTACAAATACTCTCGTCAGGTGAGCCTCTAATAATCACCCCTTATTCTGTGTATGATCTTGGGTAAATAAAACAAATAGTCGTCTGACGTATGTTTTTCTCTGATTTCGGAGCATTCTATCGAACGTTTGTGCAAAGGAAACCTAACTAAACACTCTAGAAAACATAAAGAGGTACCTATAATTTCACAAATCACCTTAAATCAACCTCTTCATCGCTTATATTTTAAGAGTCATGAGTTCAGTTATCCAATGAGTTCTCAGGAAGAATTATAGTTGAGTCCTTGAAAGGATTTCGTGATTTTCTTCTGGATACTAACCAGAGTTTATCGTGAGGAAGACAGCACCTTTATTACATAATAATAATGAAACGTAATAAAATAGCGAATGGTAAAAGAAAAGTTCTACAGTCAAACCTATCAAAATTTTGCTGCAAAATCTATCAGTACAAAGTTTACCTCAAATAATCTGTCACCGCTATCATAAACTTTAGGTTTTGGGAAGTAAAAATGCTCTCTATATAGTGTGTTAACGGTATTGGTTTCAAGTTTATGTCCATACAGAGTTAAACATATGTTATACCCGTACTTTCAGACAATACTCTGCACAGGTCTAAAACTATACCAAACAAGAGAGCAATAACAGTGTCTAATTGGCGATGTTTAGTATCATTTCGCGAGGATAAGACCACTTGAATTCTCAAAGGATCGTCAACTGGTTTGTGAGAACTTATGCTTTGAAAAAACAAATTCAATCACATGATAGATTTAGGGATTATTTGACTGTCTAACAACTTAGGACCATCCCTGTTGAACATCATCTCTCAGATGTAAAATAATCACTGAGATCCGAACGGTGATTATGGATGAGTGAAAATGAAAACAGCACTTGACTGTTACCCGTTCCACCAAATTCACGATCTAGCAGCTACTTGGAAAAATAAAACATTATTTTTAAGAGTCGAATTGGTTAAAGCGCGCAGCTAAATTCTAATGGCTACGGAAGATATTCCTAAATTAGCTATCGTCACCGTCTTTATATGCTACGAATTCAAACGTGTGCTTTTAGATTCAAGAAACGCTGCTAATACTTTATGCAGGTTCACAGATAAGGTTTTTAGAGGTCTTGACTTTGTGGACCCTTATGTAGCTGACTGTGTAATCACAAGTTCGGATATAGGACCTCAGGTACAGCACCTGGATCTTGTTTTTCGACTACTTCAGAAATATGGCTTCACTATTAAAATACTTAGGTGTCAAGTGGAAACAGATTCTCTCAACTTCATTTGGCACACAGTTGATGCTCATGGTATACACCAGCCAAAAAAGGTGGTTTCCACTCCGGATTATCTAAAACCGGCCATAGTCAAGTAATCATCCACAATTAGTACGTTGATAGGTTTTTACTGACGGTCTATGCGAAATTTTGCGATAATATCAATCGACAAACCACTGAGCAAGACGACACTAAGAAGAAAGCATCATCCATAGTGAAGGAATACCTCTCTAGATTAAATATGTTGTCACACCTCGACACGTAAGTACTCATATGTATCAGAGTTGACACACCTTACTCAGGAATTAGAGGAGCCTAGAAACTATGAGTGAACAATACATGCCTCTCTTCAGCGTTCTTATCGAGACGGTTGCAAAACGCTGAATCTGGATTTAAAACATGCAGCGAAGAACGCCCGGCAGTGTGTAGTGATGTACAACATTCCTAACCATAAGTTAAAGGTCGAAAATTTACTTTTTACACTAAACACGGTCTGTCAATCAGTCCTTTTAATTCGTCTTCAGAAAAGTACATTCCTTGAGAGTCCCGGAAACCTGACTATATGTCCCAGGTCAATTCAGATGTACAAGATATTTCTGCCGAAAACAGACAAGCATACTCTGTTAGTTGTTCGAGTCAAGGGATGACTTTGAACTCGTCAATCAGCTAATTACGTTGTAGTCTTAACGCGTTATCCTGTCGAGTATAAAAAAGGTGCGAAGAAGGGATATTCAGATGGCTGCCTATATTAGCTAGCGATTTCGTGGTATCGAAAGAACGGTGAAATCGTGCCACAGAAAACGGCCGAAGGTAAAAGCAATATGGTGACCACGCTAACGAAAGTGTGGCACAAAAGTACGATTCAACAAAATGTTCGGTAAAACGTCCACCGGTACATTCGGTTGTAATAGAGAATGTTTCTATTTAACCAGTCGTGTTTTCTTGGTGAAAGTGAAATCATTACACAGCTTGTTTAGTATAACTTACTTACACATTATCCATCAGCTTGTGCTTCTTAAACTCGCTAAGCTTCAGAATAAAGATAACGAACTTCAACACAAGTTATCATTGTTTACCCTTAACCTGTGAACCAAATAGATTGGGGCATGTAAGGGAAGTCCACTTCATGACTCATAAATGGGAGGTGATCATATATCGTGCATGAACATTATGGACGAAATATCTTCAACACGTTGCTCAAACCTGCTCAAATAGGTGTTCGGGCAACATTAAAGCCGACAACGAAGCGATTTTGTTGTCGAAGTATGGACAGATACGTGAGGGAATGAGGACTATCCTGTATAAACTGCCCGAAGATTAAGTGAATGAGACACAGCAAATTTCCCTTACGTAGCTTCTCAACTCCTGATTCTGTTCATCTTTACCTCGTGTCACTGTCACCGGATTCACATGGATACTCCCATCTCCGAGCCGGATGTCTTGGTAGTGGAGCTTTCATTGTTCTTCTGAACAACAACGTCAGAACAAACTCCAGGCGCACGTTAAATATTAGAATCCTTCCATATGTCGCTCGTGTTTCTTCTGTTGACCTTGAAAGTGATTGTTTATTATTCACCTTAAACCTGTCATTGTCTACATCTTCATTTTGATTGTATACGCCTATGATCTGCGTCTTGCCCCCAAGCTTGTCTTTGATTTTTCTGACTGTTTAATAAAGTGGGTTGACGTAGATGTGTTTGTTAATTGCTGCTCGACTTGAGTTCCAAGGTTCGAAAAATTCTCTAAAATTTTTCTTCTCCGTCGATCTCCCAAACATACAAATGAACGACACGACTCCTACGAATACGATACAACCTTTGATTAGTTCGAACACAACGAAACTTCATTGCTATCCAAAATGTGACAAAGGATGAGGCACTTTAGGAAATTTAAGTGATTGTTAAAAAATCTCAACCGCTACTGCGTTTAGAATGTATGTAACGCTCATCTTTTCTTTATTTTCGTTTTTTATCCTAAAACTCTTCGTTTGAATTTTCAACCATTATTGTATGGAAACCAAAAATTATTGCAAACCTGCATATTTTGTTGAAATTAAAAATTTGGAGTATTTTTTATACGCTTATAAATATGTGTATATTTCTTTAAAAAATTGAAAAACATTTTGCTGGCCAATAAAATCTCTGTCGCATGAAATAAATATGTATATACATCCAATGTACAATCCGATCAATTTTTTCAGGAGCTGATATAAACTGACTGATTACTTTGAGCTCGATTTCTGTCCTTTCGGTACGGCCTCAGGTATTTGGTGCTTCGCACGTTTACAAAATCATGTTTATACTTGTGTGTTTACATATGTTCCCATTTTTTCTTTTTTTTAGTACAACTTTAAAGATCGAATGCCGAATATAAACAGGAAGAACTGGTTTGTTACGGTATATTTTGTTTTATCATTATAAAACAGTACCTAGCCCCTAAATGAGATGAAATGGATCAGACACTACTGGACGAAGTAAGCTATCAGAAGAATGTCTAATAATGTAACGCACACAGGGTTTTAATTTCTAGCTGGTCACGTCGTACAGTCATTACTACCTCAGTCATTAGCAGTCCATCGTAATGCAGCCGTTGTAACTCGCGCCAATTATTCGCTTTATGCGATAATTGTATCGACCATTCTTTATGTTTCGATAATTTGATAACAGTATTGGCTGGTGTTTATCTGATCGTATATGCATGCTTACTCGCTTATTACATGTCTAGCCTATTATTGCCTGATTATAAGTACTTAGTCATGCTTCGGCACATGCAAGTTGGCTCACTGGACTTCTACAATTCTCTTCGCTTTGCTTGTACGCTTTTTATTCTCGCGTCTGTCTGCTTGATTGAATGTATGATATGAATGCGTCCGCAAAACCATATTTGGCTTTTTATTATCACGGTCGCAGAAGTGGGGTTTTCCTCAGTGTGATATACGAAAATGGAAGGGAAGATTTATTTCACTGCATACTCGAAAATTTTTTTCAAAATGGAATCGAATCACAGGCCACTAAAATGGTGAACCCGACATCGAACCTAACGTAACCTGCAGAACTTCGTCGTCAACGAAGGTCTTGAACTCAATTCATTGGATATTTGAATCATCGTATAAAACTTGATGAACCACTCAGACTACAAAATCTCGTGTCCAACGTACCCAACGAAGCCAGTTCACTGAGGACACGAAAATA